AGCAGCGCCGAGGTCTGGCCCCTGCTCGCTCTCTTCATGCCATTTCCTCTGCAGGTAGGTTAGGAGAGGGGAAGATAAACTACTAATAAAAGTTTGGGACATTCAGAATAGCAGAATCATAGTTTACAAGTTATCTTAGGAGAGTCTGAGTCATCAGCAGTGATTTTCTTCACACATCTGCGTGTCCTGTAACTCGTGTCACCCACCCTCGCACCCATGGACACTGACGGCCTCATCCTCGGCGCTGCGAGCCCCACTGCACCTACGCTGCGGTTCACATTCGCCTGGGCAAACTTCGTGCGCTTAATACTGAAATCAGCCTCTCACGGCCCTTTAACCACCTCTCCTCTAAATGCATCCTGGAGGAAACCAAGAAAAATCTGTTTAGAGGAATCACGATGCCACCTGAAGCACACATGTTCCAATCTCTATTCTCTAATGAGAAAATAAAATATTTTTTGCATTTCCCTTCTGTTTTCTTTTACTTAGAGAAAACAACTCTTAGAATAAACAGTAGCATTTGACTATCCCAAATAATTAAAAACATCAGTAAATTGAAGAAATTTACTGAATTTATTACTGAAGCAATAAGACAAGGCAGCTTTGCAGTAAATAGAAATAACAGTATTGCCCCGAAATCCTGTCCCAAATAGGAATTTTCCTATTCTATTCTTTTCTTCTTTTTCACTTTTTGCAGAGTCTCTTTTGGCTCAGGTCAACATAATCATTAAATAAAATTCAGAAGCATTTCTCAAGTCTTTTTAATGTTCCTGGACAATCTAATACTTTATTTACTAAAGAGTATTACATTATTTACAAATGCTACATCTTATTGTGCATGTAAGTGTTTTAGAGTATTAGCCAGCACTCCTAAAATCTACAAATGCAGTCATTTTAAGTCAAATTCTGACTTACCTGGTTTGAGTCTTAAGAAACATCACTGAACTGAAGTACAATTGTAAATAAACCAATACTGGGTCATTCAGTTTCTTTATTTATGAGGCAGATGTTCTTTCATTTGTGTGATGTTTGGCTAATAAGATTCTGATACATGATATGAACTGCACACTTTGACAAATAATTTCTAAACACAGCACAAATTTTTGTGCGTAAGGATAATTACATAACAAGGGATGATAACTGAGTGCATCTGCCTGGAAATTTGATCTGCTTATGTCTGACCTTTATAGAAAATCAAACACAAAAATTCCAAATGTTTCCACATTTACATATTTTAAAAGGTTACTTATAAGTTCTGCTTCTTACCTTTCTTAGCTTCCGCATAAGTTTTCCATAGGATACCAAAATCACCGATAAAGGCACTATAAAACAGGTGGTGAAGAATGCAATAATGTACGTGTGGTCAGTATAAGCTCCTGAGTACCTGTATAAAACACAAAATATATTGTGTATGTATTACTAGTATGTTCTCTCATTATTTTCTCAAAGTATTTATTTTGCTCTTCAAAGCTGTCACTAGTATTTTTGTCAACTGCTTTTATTCAAGGTGCCCCTTTACAAGTCACCCGATGGAGCCCTGGGCCATGTCCCTGGCCATGGGCTCGGACAGGATCCTCTGACCGTAGGCACAGTACCATAGAACTGTGGGACAGTTCAGGTGGGAAGGGACATGTAGTCCAACCTCCTGCTCAAAGTGGACGGCTATGGGGTCAGAAAAGGTTGCTCAGGGCTTTGTCCAGTCTTCTGAAAAATTTGTCTCTGTCCTCTTTGGATCCTGACAAAAAGCACAAGGTATAGGATGGTTATTTTCATTAGAGATGGAAGGTATTCCCTTTAGAAATTATTTTTTTTAAAACCCGTTCTTGGCAATTTTTTCTTGGTTTTGTTACAACTTTCTTTACATCCATTTTTGCAGAGATGTACATCATCTTTAAACCTTTCCTTTAAATTCCTGCCCTTGAGACGTCCTGAGCTGCAAGTTTCATTTCTTTACCATACTCTGTAAGAGTGGCCTTACCAGTTAAGCTCACAAGTAGTTCCAATCTTACTGGTGGTGTAACTACTCCAACCCATTGTTGGTGGAACGGTCCAAATGAAGGAAAACGTCCACACAAAGGCAATACCTAGGGCTGCGTGCTTCCCCCTCAAGCGCATATTTCCCAATGGGCGGCAGATCACAATGTACCGCTCAAAAGCCAGCAGAGCGAGAGACCAGAGAGCCACAATGCCTATAGTAAGAAAACACAGTCAGCATCAAAAATTGGGTAGATTCACTGCAAAGCAAACACCATCCCACATCACAGTATCACAGAATTGTTTAGGTTGAAAGGCATCTCTGGAGGTCATCTAGTTCAACACAGCCCACACACGCTCAAGCACAGTCCATACAGCAGGCTGTCCAGGACCAAACCCAGCTGGGTTTTGAATATCTCCACAGATGGAGACTCCACAATCATGCTGGGCAACTTGTTCCAGTGTTTGACCACCCACCACATCAGGCACCTTTTCCGTCAACACAAGTTGTGAAAAGATGCACAATTTATGTGCATTATTCTAATATTTATCAAGAGCACACGATTTTCCTATTTGTCTAGTTTGTCAGTCTACAGTATAATGACTACAAAACCAAGCAGCTAATCAGGCTGTTTAACTGATGATGACTTCTTTTTTTCATTTGGTTCTACTCTGAAAAGCTGCAAATTACATGTAGCTTCCAAATTAACAAATTAAGAGATATCTTCAGAACACTATCTTTGCAAGAAATGTCATATATCAGACTGTCATAAAACTCTAACCTACAGGCAGCTGCCCACAACATCGAATTATCAGTTTATTAAGCACATATCACCTGGCTGGCCACCAAAATCTTGAAATAGCCTGATCTTTCACCACGGGACAAACTGATTTAGTAGCAGTGTCCCTCACCAACATTCCCTCTGTGTAGCTCAAACAGGTTGAGAGCAACTGTGAGACTGGGGTTCAGGCTGAGGACCAGCATGTGCTTGGTTTAGAGCAGTGACAGCATGAGAAGGCTGTCCTTACTACGCAGCTTCAGGAGCAGGAACAGGGAGGCAGGAGTGAAGGTCTATCTCGAGTAAGTAGATGGCCTGTTTTAAACTAATTTCCCATTTATCCTGCAGAAGTGTATTTACACAAGGAACTATGTAGTAAGGATTTTCCCTTTTCGAGTACTTCTAATACTTTTTGTGTAGCTAGTAAAACAAAGCCAAGAAAAAGACTCACAAAAAGATGTAGGTGTGAGGGATGACTGTTACAAGTGTGTCACGGTTCCCCAGAACCACTGGAAGGCAGCTAACATGAGATGTTTCTGTGCTCTGATATTTTCCACAGTTTAAGAGCAGCCACTCACTCTTTTTCTCCCTCTCTTATTTATCCATATATGCACACACCTAAATACAGTCCTTGAAAATAGTTACACGTAGTGAATTTCTTTCTAATATTGTTTTACCAAAAACCCCACAACGCTGTCATTCTATTAGCAAGCTTCTTCTCATTATATTAAACATATTCAATGATCAGTATACGTGCAACAAGCCACTGATACATGACAGAGATAGTGATATGTTATTCACTCACACAGGAGATCCACTACAGAGTATATGTAACTGGGGAAAGAACCAGTGAGTTCAAAGGCATGCAAAGTCAGCAACTTGGGAAGCTGCAGGATAGCTAGTAGAATACATTGAAAGAAGTTGAAGAAAAAGAACATACAACTACAAACAAAATCAAGCTTACCAAAAAATGTGACAGCAAATCCTTCCAGTACACAAGCCCAGTATCCCATGTAAAAGTAACCTTTTAGATTCGTTAAAAAGCTGATGGTGCCACCAGTCAGTGAGACCAGGAAATCAGCCACAGACAAATTGACTAAAACATAATTGACAGGTTGTCTCAATTGCTTGAACTTAAAAGTTACCAGGATTACAGCCAGGTTCTCAGCAAGCGACAGGGAGGTCACCACCAACATTACTGCTGCCAGAAGCCTGAAGTGCCAGGGCTGGATGGAGTCCAAGGGACGACGGAAGGGATCCCATCTGGCTGGACCAGAGGAACTGGATATCAGCGACTCATTTTCAGGTGCTCTGAATGCATCCATGTTTTCTCTCTCACTAGCAAAAATAATAGGTGTATAATACTGGAAAAATTTGCTGCCTCCAACAGAAGTGTGAACAAACTCTCCGTGCTTCTGCCTTCCAGTAATAGTCCAGGAAACAAAATTTTGGTCAGTGGAAAGTTTAGTGCTGTGCAGTGAATGTGGGAACAGGGATGAGCGAGACAATCTCTTAGAGCAACTTCTGCCCCTTTCTGCCAGTAGTCTCCTGCCTCTCTCCTGCTGCAGTTGTGTCTTTATCTGTAATAAAACCCAGCTATAGAAGCTGCAGGTTCCCTCCTCCTGCAGCAGCCAACAGCAGTGCTGAAATATCCCTCAGATCATCCCTTCTCTGTGGGGAAAAATGAAGTGTTTATTCGGAGCCCTCCCTGACCTTTAGCACTGTAAAAAAGCAGCTTTCCTTTTGGTAATACGGAGGGTGATCTTCCTCATGCCCTGTGTTGCTGGGAGCACAGCGAGGGGGAGGCTCCCACCTGACTTCGTTTCTTGAAAGTGGGCAGCACTGAAAAGATTTAACGCTGGACTACCACAGAGGCTGTAAACTGGGCAGTGGGACTGCACTGTAAACCCCTGCCTACATTTCAAGGTAGCTTACGGCCTCAGAACTGAAGCTCCGAATTAAATAAGTTTTCTATGTCACCCAATGGAATTTCAGTTTCTATCAGAGACAGTACAGATGTTATCCCTGATGAAGGCATAATGATTGTAACTGCAGCTTTAGTACTAAAAACTTAAAGATGCACAAAAATATTTTGGAGTTTGTAAACACCTGAAAAGAAATAAAATCAGTACAGCATGACAACAGACATCAGGAAAATTAATAGCTAGTCACATATTTCTGACAAAAATTATTGGAAGTATCTGGACTCTTTAATAATCATTAGCAGTTGGGGTTACCTGTGTTCATCTCCCAAGACGAGTAGCTTCTGCACCCTAACGAGACACAATACTGTGACAGATATGCCAGCACTCCCGTTCTAAAGGGCTGCCAGCAACTATTCCACAAATTAAGCTGAATACCCATGCTTACAGGGAAATCATTCAGCTGTTGTAAGTGAGAGAGATAATTCTCAGGGACCATAATTGTTAATCAGAGCCTCAGACTACTAACCAGAGTCAAAAATACAAAAGCAAGCCAGTTCCCGTCTTGGAGAGTTCACACTTTGGACACACATCATACACCACACTTGAATAAACCACCAGGAGCTGGAGTGAGAGTGAAAATGAGTAACACTGCCTGTCCATACATTCCCTTGAGTTTTTATTTGCTTTGGTTTGTACATGAAACACTTTGTTAACACAGGTTAAAATCTTTTGGTATGCCAGAATGGAATCAAAAGGGTTTCTGGACACTGGCACAAAGAATTATGCATCATAAAATTTCAGAATATTTTGAACTAAAAAAAAAGTAATTCCTACTTACGGCAACCAAAATAACAAAGATATTTTTAAATGGTTAATATATACCCAACTGAAAAGGAAAGAGACAGTCCTTAAGCAGATCAAATCTAGTAACAAGAAATACTCACAAAATAATACTTATTCAACAGGAATATTAAAAAATTCCAAGTGTCATAAATAAAAGAAGGATTAACACACAGCAACATTAAAATGCCTCCAGCTGGTCTTGTATGGCATGATTCAGCATAGTTCCATTGGCTGCATAATACAGCAGAAGATCCGGACCACAACTTTAAATTAAAGTTCGAATATTACGTTGTTTGAAATTATACAAGATTTTAAATTCTTGTGGGTGAATGAAACTAGAACTCTGAATTTAGCATACAACAGAGAAGGTACTATCTGGACTTAACTTTAAGGTACAAACCTATTGATTGTACATTGACACCCCTTTAAAGAATGGGTAACTATTTTTTCCAGCTATCTTGTTGTCAGTTTACGCTGTCATATTGTTCAAGTTGTTAGTATGACTTCTGATTTTTGTTACAGTTTAAAGGCATTTTCTTTATCTTGTTCTTCCTCTTTGTTTATAATCTTTTAAAAACATTCCTGTACTGTTTTGGTTGCCTGTTTTGCTTGTCTTGTTTTTCTTCTTCAGCAGGTTAACTTTATCACTGAAAGTGATTCTGTGACATACTCTCTTATTACAACTTACAGCAGTTGCACTTCTTTCAGCATCACGGGTTTACATTTGCTACTTTGCTCTATATTTGCTACCCTCCTTGCACTCTAGGTCTTTTTTTTTGGTCCAAATAATACAGACATGGACATATTTTGCAATTTTGTTGAGAGACGTTTTTCTGAAATCAGTATCAGCCAAATTTAGAAAGACAAAACATTGCCTTATGAGGGAGAACAGGAGCATCTCAGGTCTGTAGCCTCCACGTAAAGAAGCAGCTGTTCTCCAGCATTACCTCACAAGATCGTTAGCTCCTTTTATTATGGTCTTGTTTTCCATTAGTGCCAAATTCCTTTCCCTGGACTTCCATATACTGAAAGTTTGTTGATGAACATAGAGCACATGCAAACCAAGGAGTCCCTGTTCGTCATATCTCATGCATCTGTCCTACTGCATTCCTCATTTTCTTGGCCAGAATCGAGGCATGACTTGCCTCCTTAGCAAAGGCAAAGTTCCTGACTAACACTTCATATGAAGATGTAAGTCGGTAGACAGTAAAACAGCCTCAGGCTATGGTTAAACTGCTGCCAGCTGGAGCAGGGAACATACAGTCAGTGAGGTGAAGAGGACGTCTAACTAAGAGCACTTGTGTTATATGCCTACAGTAATTCCAGCTGTAAGGCAAAACCAGGCTGACAGGAACTGTGCAAACTGAGACCAAATCTCGTGCCTGAAATTGCTATGGCATTAGTGAATCAGCCCTGAATTTACCATTCCCACAAGATACAAACAGGGAAATCAGTGTGGTATTTCTAGTGGTGCACTTGAATTGGTTCTCTCAGCTTTTGAGCAGGTGACAGTCAGTCCCAAGATGCTGCCATCTAATGACAGCAGTGGCCTTCGTTCCTCAAAGTGATTGTGAAAGATCTGCTTTGACCCCGAGAAGGATTTGGTTTAGTCACATTTAATTAGAACAAACAGCATTTTCTGCTGTACAGATGTTTTGTGGGAATCTGAAGCAAATGATCCCACTTTTGGTACAACCAAACTGCCTGCTATGTCATACATGAGTGCCCATCTCAGTGACTGACCTGGCCACCCCATAAGTCAACTTCTATTTTGAAAAACAACAAAAATCTAACCAGGGATTCAGGCACTCATCATTTCTGTGAGCAAATGGTGCTGACCCAAGGCACTCACACAGACGACGTCTACCACACATGAATACTTCATCCCTTCAGAGCATCTAGCCTCTGGGCCAGTAACTGGGCTGAAGCTGGTATTTCTCCTTGGCCAGATACTGCTACGGACTGTGTTAAACCGTTCTGAAATTAAGGGGTCTGGCTGGAGTCTTCCTGAAGGGAAGCTGGGGTTGCACGTGCCTGTGCAAACTTGGAGGCGGCAGCACAAGAGAGCTGCTCTCAGGTCCTGTCCATGGGAGACCCCAGCTGCCCTCCCAGCGAAACCTCCTCTGCAAGGCCCGCAAGGGACCACTGGCTGCACTGGTCTGGGATAGTTGCTGCAAAAGAAAGGCAGTAAAAGCTGGTGGAAGCTAGCAGGGAAGAACCAGGTGCACCATGGGTGTGTGACCTTGAGAGAAGCTGGAAGTGAGTGCTCCTTGGGCTGGGTGGGTAGGGAGAGGCTTCAGGCACAGAGAAGGGGGAAAGGGTCTATAAGAAACTTGGGGAGAAATCATCAATTTAAAAGCAGAGTAAAATTTCAAACATGTCAGAAATCAGTCTTACCAATACTGGGTTGTGTTTCTTTTCTTTTTTAAATAAGGTACTAAAAAACCCAGCAGCAAGTGAGGTCTATGAAGTGTATTTATGTTGATCTTTCAATGTCCTTATTCGATAATGACATTCCAATTGCGTTATCTCTAGAAGGAATATAAGAACATATTTCACTACAGTATTTTTAAAAACACATATGGTAAGGCCACATTTTGTTCTGCCTTCAGTAGGGGAGAAGCTGAAAAGAATGCATGAGCATTTAGTTTAAATTAGAAATTAAGCAGAAATCATGCTGATTTATGCATAGAGATGATTACAAATTACATTACAAATCTAGAAACTCTAATTCTCAGACCACACAGGCAAATAGGCTTTTGCTGCGTCAAATCAATCACAGAAACACAAAAGGGCTGAGGCTGGCAGGGACCTCTGGAGAGCTCCAGTCCAGCCCCTTGCTCAAAGTGCGAGCAGCCACAGCAGGTTGTCCAGGATCGTGCTCAGCCAGGTTTTGAATGTCTCCAAGGATGGAGACTCCACAAACTCCCAGGGCAAAGTGTTCCTGTGTTTGGCAACCCTTACTGTACAGGTTTTTCTTATTTTTAATTATTTTAATTTTTTTTTAATCTAAGAATAAAAAATTAGATACTGCTTCACATTAATTATAAGATTTATAAATCCAGTTTATTATGGGGCTACATTTGACCTTTTTATGCCTAGAGAGGTTCAAGGAAAGCACTTGCGAAACCTAATGACAGACTTTGCTTGAGAACTGAGAAACAGGACCGCAGTGATTAATCTCATTTACCTCCTCTCAATATAGGTCCGCATTCTTTCAGAACCTGTTGAAACTTGAGCGTAGGAAGTAGGTTTTCTATTCAATGAAACTTCTGGAAATGGAGACAAATATTGTCCTCCTGCCACCTGACTAAACTGAAACCGTTTGGAGCGTTCCATCAGAAGTGGGAGCAGAGGAGTGAGTTGTTACTCTTGTGCAGTACCGTATTATAAAGATGTTGTAAAGTACCTTCTTATAACCCATTCAGAATCTTCTATGAGAGGATACTTTGTCTAAAAACCAGGCTGAACATCCAAGAGCCAATGCAAAAAACCATCAGTAAAGTGCGCTTTTCCAGGTGATCAGGCTGTCACTGAAGCATTTGTTTCTAGGTGGT